TCCTCCTCTCTCTCTCTCTCTCTCTCTCTCTGTCTCTCTCTCTCTCTCTCTCTCTCTCTTTTAAGTGAAGTACATGCTTTTGATCACAGGGCAGAGTAGGCGCTTTCAGCCTCGCAAACCAGTCACAAAAGCACAGGCAGCAGTCGCCTTAACAAGTGGCAGGGCAGCGGAGGCAATTCAGGTAGAATTAATACGACTCGAGGCCGAGAAGATGGAAAGAGAAGCAAATATGAAGGACATAAGGTCTGAGTTACTTCAAAAGGGAGAAATACAACAGTTTTGGGAAGAGAAAAAGAATAATTTGAAAATCTATTGGTTGGGAGTGGAGAGAGATTATCAGGAGGCTGTTAAGGATTTACAGGAGAGAGAGAAGAGAGATGAGACTCTAGATGAGTGGTCTAAGGAGAGAGTGGCGATTGTTTGTAGAAAAGAGTTATTATCTGAGATCAAGAGAGAGGTTGATGAGATGACTGCAAAGCTGGCATCTGAGAGAGAGAGACTCTCTAGAGAAAGGCAAATCTTAAATGAAATGTTGGGTGAAGTGCAGAGTAGGTGGGGTGATGTGGTGGAGGCGAAATCTGTATTGGAAGCAGAAATTGAGGCTATTCGGATTCTCAGGTTAGTTAGATTCTGTGACTCTGTTCACAGTTCTAATATTCATCATTCATCAAAATGTTTATCATTGTCATCCTAAACATCTCTCTCTTTCACGAAAAATTAACACCCTTCATTTCTCTCTATCTTTGAAATAACCTACACCTTTTAAATATGCGGGTACCATTTTTTTTTCGACCTTTTTTTTTTGGGCCCATATTTTTATCATCTGCCTTGCTTTTGTTGTAATTCCATATGATGTGCATGTTTATGGACTTCATTTTTAACTTCTTTAATGATTATACTTATTTCCTTCAATTTATATCTTTGTGCTCTCCATTCTGCATAGATGACTCAAACTAGGCATTGTAATAGTTGATGCTTGGCCAAATCTTGGAGTCTCTCTCTCTCTTTCTGACATATGTGTTGATTTGCCTAGCCTGAGATCACTAGATTCATGTTCATAAGTAGCCCTCTCTTATCTCTTACGCTTCTATAGTGATTTCTTTGTCATTTAGCTATCTGAAATTATGATTGAATGGTCCAGGTCTTGGGTCGAGGATGAAGCAAAGCGAAATGAAGCTCGAGCAAAACTGTTGGTTGCGGCTCAGAGCAGATGGAACTGGGTTGAGTCCAAGGTTTCTAATGGAAGCAGTTGAAGAGGAAGTTGATGTCACTCTAAGGAAAATTGAGTTACGGAACTTGTTGCAGTTAAATGGTAAGAGAAGGTACGAAATGTAGATGGCGTTTAAAGGAAAATTGTATGAACCTTGATTCAATTAAAGGAGGTCGGATAGCGCATAATAACAATGTTTTCTGGTTCTTCAGACACCCGTTGTTTGACATGTGTTATTTTGCTAGTTAGATTTTGGGATCAAGAGATATTGGTGAAATCAAACGATTGGTGTGTTTTACCGGTGCTACATGACGTTGGATGGTGTTTCAACAAATTCTCTTTTGGATGGACGTAAATGTGTAAGATTTCGAGTACAATTATCCAGGAAAATAAGGCGATTAGAATTATTTTTATTTGTCAGATTTTAAATAAAATGGTTGTAAAAGTATCATTGGATGGATGTAAATATGCAAGATTACAAATACAATTATCCAGGAAATAACGAAAAATATAGAAAGAGACTATTTACTTTTGATAAAAAGATATTAGAATTTTTATTTGTCAGATTTTAAATAAGATGGTTATAAAAGTATCATTGACTGCATTCAAAATTCAAAAACATAAAATGAAAATCTTCAACTTCATGACACATCTCAAGCTATCTAAGTTGACATCTAATGAATGATAAAGAATAATTATTACTACTTTATTATCATAATGTACGATCCCAATTAATAATTAAAAAAGTTTATATGAAGGTGTGGCTCTAAAAAATCAAATTAAAGTGCACCTTAAAATTTCACTAGAAGGTATTGTTTTGATGTCGACAAACACTCAATTCGAACATCTCAACCTCCAAATATATGGACATGAGAAAAAATAGATTTCAAGTCTTGAAAATAGTACATTTTATAATATATTATCTAGATTGTCATTTTTAAAGATTTTTTAATATTCATAGATATGCTCGACCACAATATTTTTGAATATTTCAATTTATAATTACATATGAAAAAGTTTTTGGTCATCATAAAGATTTCTGATTTCTGATACTGAAACAATATATTTCAATACTATTTGAAGGTGCGCCCTCCTTTAATTGTTCAAATGCCTCAGCCTTATACAAACCACCTATATAGCCAGCAGGTCATTAGTTTTCTCTACTTCCCCATTAAACCATAAACCAGCCAAGCGCCATCCAATAACAAAGCCCAATGCTTTCATATCCTTGCCTATAAAACCAGGGACTGTTGGACTGGCGAAAGTCAGACAGATCAAGCAAATCCAACCAGGAAGAAGCGTCCACGAAATTCAACAATATCTCTCCAATTTTCATGTGCCAAACAAAGTTTAAACCCCATGCCTCTAAAATTGGCCAGACCAGGTCCCAAAACTAGAAGATTCTAATCAATATATTCGCTTAATATGGGCAACAAAATGCCTACTAGAAGATTCTAATCAATATATTCCCTTAATATGGGTAACAAAATGCCTTTTCTCAAGTGATAAGTTGACATCAGATGAAGCTCGGGCAAATTGGCCCCTTGGCGAGGCCCAATCGTACTTCCATCCCATTGTGCATATCCACTGGCCTAAAGCTTTCAGAGTCACGAGGATCTGCAACAACATCAACAATATATTAATTTAATTTAAAAAATAAAATGAAGATTGAACATGAAAGCTAGTTATTCAGATGAAAAGAGCTTCAAAGGCAGAACAAAGTCATGTTCTTATGAGGATTATTGGCACCAAACAGTAATGGAATCAAGGTTCTTCGACAATTTCTCTTGTATTTTAGAAAATTGTAAATAGTTTATCGAAATCATAGAACCAAACTGTATCCTACGAACTTCTTGAACTTGAAATGAAGCAAGAAATAAGATGATTTAGAGAAAAGGCATATCTACCATTCAGATAATCTTCAAAACCAATGTCATCCAACTCCCCTGTGAGAGCCTCTAGACCCAGCATGGAGGATGGCAAGGGCCCTGGAAGTCTTTGAAATCTGCAAAAGTGAGAAGGCAAAAGATATCCTTGACAAGCCAACAGCTGTGAATGAAAGCCCAAGAACTTGACATTTGCTATAAGATGACAACATACACTGTCGTACAAAAACCCATATTGATCTCTATATTCATATCAAATGTATTGTTTTCCTTCTTTATGTAAATTTTATAGAGGGTAACTCTTTATGAACAGGTCATTATACACAATGTTATTAGTACTGGACATGCCACTAGACCGGTGAGGGGCCCCTTCCAGTCAGAACTGCTCAGACCGGTAGGACATGATTTTGTAACAATTAAATAAAAATGAAGAGAAATAAGCAAAAAAAATGAAACATATTACAGATAATAAAAATTGGCCAACCTTGTTCCATCAGACAATAATGCGAGTAACTAGCCCGAAACAAGACTTGATGCGGCCCTAATAACAAGTCAACCTCTGCATGGCCTTGTATGCATACCAGGTAAAAAGTAAGCCCTGCATGCATGGACTAAACATTTGAACAGGGCCGTTTTTTTCCGTCCACCTATTTTAGGAATAAATAATGGTCCAACTTGGTCCCTCCACTATTCATGGGTGACAAACACTTCCGATCCCACAATGTCCAAAGTATACCCATTCCATGAAGTTGTGCACTTTATCCATCTCCAATGATATATGAAAGAAATTCTAGAGGCAACTGAGATGTGCAAAGCTCCTCACTAATACTAAAAAGTGCAGATTAGAAACATTCAAGCGTCATCAAGACTACCTCACCTGAATACATCTCATCTCAGTGTTTTCTGTAAGTTAATGCAGGCCAGTAATGCTAAAAAGTGCACATTAGAAACATTCAAGCGTCATCAGGACCACCTCACCTGAATACATCTTATCTCAGTGTATTCTGTGAGTTAATGCAGGCTAGTAAAACAAGAACTACAAAGTAATTCAAACTCTTGGCCTGTACCCAACAACCCCACCCCCTTCTCCCAACAACACAAAAAAGAAATGTAAGAGCAAGTAATCCAAACTCTTGGCTTGTCCCCCCACCTCAAAAGAGAAAAAATGGCCAGATCCAACCTCTTCTCTACTAAACCAACTCTTTGCAACTAGATTTGCAAAGGCTGAGAGCAGAACCCCAAGGGCTTCACAATGCATGAATTCCCCCAAAAATTAGCCCTACCCCCCATTCCGAAAGTCGAACAGTTCATTCCTATACATCTAGGGGCACCTAACAGAGAATTATTCATGTTCCTCAACCTTCTAATACCCAAAATCCCGTCATCCTGTGGCTGACAAACCCCATCCAACTTAAAAAGATGTAATTGCAACTATTAGTGGCCCTTCCACATGAAATCCTTCTAATTGCTTTCTGGCTTATCCACACTACAGGAAAAAAACAAAAATAACATAATACATACTAGCCTTGCTGAATTTCTTGGAACCCCAAGGACACTTCACTGCACCTGTCTATGTAATTTTTCTCACAGAAAGATGACAAAGTATAATGTTTGGGTCATTTGGGTCACTAACACAATACAAAGTCCTTGGAAAGCTTCTCCTGCACTTCTTATCCTGTCTAGGTAACTTCTAAAAAGAGCACTTCACCAGAAATTCCAAGGGTCTCCTCAAGCTAACCATCTCTTTTGAAATCATGTCATAAAACTCCAGTATTAAATCATCTTTGCCTAGTCTCGAGATGCAACACACAAAAATTGCAAACTGCAAGGGACAACAAGGTCCAGCTCCTATGTCATCAGCAAACCCTTAATAAACCCCAAAGTGCTCTACCATGGTTGAAGATTGCCAACACAATTATGAATAGAAGTGGAGTCCCTCAGAGTTCCTCGCGCCCTGGCCTTCTCAATTAATTTGGACACAGTTTGTCTCCACATCTGCATCTCAAGGACAATATAGACCAAGGGTATTAAATTCGCTTAGCTTCGGCCGAAGCTTCGGGCTGCTTTGGTTAGAAAAGAAATACCCATATAAAAGTTTTTTTTTTTTAAAGTTTTTTAATTTTTTTAATTTAAATTTGTAATTTTATCCATTATTTTATATATAAATATCTAATTTATTTATATTAAATTTTTTAAAAAAGTCCAAAGTTTTCCCCCGAATCGGCTGAAGCACTGAATTGCTTCATTTTTCTCACCAAATCGAAGAAGACTCTGAAGCGAATATGACAACATTGATACAGACCGTGGGCAACCATAGCTCATCTATCCATCTCCATACAAAGGCGTCCTAACAAAACCAGATTAGGAAGGGCCCTCACGTCCCCCATCCTCATCTTAGAACCTTTGGAAGAGTTTCATACAGATCCCAATGTTCATTTCCTAAGCTTTCAGATCCAGAATAATAATAGTCCCTCCTTTGTAAAAAAAATTCTCACCCACTCAAGTAACTCTACCTCTATAATAGAATGATAATGTTTTTTTTTTTTGATGAAGTTAACATTGTATTAAAGAGCAGGAAGTACAAATAGTGATAAGAGAGGACACACGGGTTTGTCCTCTCAGAGGGGAACTAGTAACACCTCTGTGAATAGGTGTAGTACAAAGAGTATTCTAGAAAAAACTAAACGTAGGCTTAACATCAATGGTTTGGGGTCATTTTACAAGGGCTTTGAAATCAAAGTGCCATTCCAGGTGTTACATTAAAAAGTACGACAAAAGTGGCGTGAAGAAAAGCGATTAGGAAAGTCTTCCAAGCTTAGGTAGTAGCTGCGGCTTGCAGGTTGGCTCCCTCCTTAGCTAGATGGTCCGCCAGTGCATTTGATTCCTGCAAGATATGCGTCCATGAGACGGGAATATCCCTGCAGAGGTGAGAAATCTCGTAAAAAATCTTAGAGAGATACTAGAGGGGGGGATACATGACCGCTGCCCAAGAAACTATATTGCGTGCATCCCCTTCCACTAGAAGTGGTTGAGCCCACACAGGATCAAAAAGTTTGATGCCCGTGAGCAAGGCGAGAGATTCTACCAGCTGTGAATTGGTGCGACCTATGTGTCTTGAGAATTGTGCCAAAGTGTTTCCTCGGAAAGTGTTTCCTTGGTAGTCTTTGAACCCCCCCCCCCCTACCCCAAAGGGGCCAGGATTTCTGAGTGAGTAGCTATCGAAGTTGAACTTAATTGCACCTGGCAGAGGGGGGGACCAGTCCCCATGGTGTGAGGGTCGAGAGGGGCCAGGATTTCCGAGTGAGCAGCCATCGAAGTTGAACTTAATTGTACCCGGCGGAGGGGGGGGACCAGTTCCCATGGTGTGGGGGTCGAGTGTTTTGAAGAAGAACTAATTGTTGCTAGTTGGCAAGGAAGATAGAACAAGGAAGGAGCTTGAAGGCCTTATGATTGGTGGCCCAGAAAGTCACGAGAGTGTGGATTTTATGGAATAGGGCTGGATTATCGCAATGGGCCCCTTTAAAGATTCTTGAGTTCCTTTCTTTCCATAGAGTCCAAATCGTGGCCTCTGTCATTGCTTTCCAAAGGGGCCTCCCAGTTTTGGGCCATGGAAGCCTGTCTGCTAAGTTAAAAGTCTAGGGATAGAGATCGGTATGACCCGGGTCAGACCGAAAAGGTTGAGGAGTTTGCTCCACTGGTAAAGAGCAAAATCGCAGTGGATAAACAAGTGAGAGTGGGTCACTTCTTCTTTAAAACAAAGGGCGCATCGATTCGCTTGAGTTGGTCAACTGTTAGCATTTTTCCTTCGCAAGCAAATCAAGTTAAATGCTTGCACTTTTCGTGGCGCTATTGATGATCATACCGTGAACGTTACCGAGGGGGGAGAGGGCAGTAAGTTTTTGTAGAAAGAGGCCACCAATAAGGAGCTAGATGGCTCTAGCGTCCACATGATTCTGTTCGGCCTTGAAAGTGGGAAAAAGTGATCGTTGAGGAAGGTCGAGAGGGAGATGAACTCCAGTATTTCAGCGTCAGAGAGAGATCGCCTGAAAGAGGGGTGCCACACTCTTCTGTTACCTGTCAGCTGGAGCTCTTCCGAGATCCAGGCTAGCGGCCTAGTGGTGAGGGAATATAAAGAAGGAAAGGGATCCCTGAGAGGAGAGTAACCCACCCAAAGGCTGGACCAAAATCAGATCCTACTGCCAGACCTCAGGTGGAATCTGATGGATTGTTTGAATGTAGACAAAACCGAAAGAAACGACTTCCAGGCTCCTGAGGGTCTGCTGTGGGGCTTCCCCTTCTGTAGCCAGGCTTCTGGGGGAATTCTATATTTATGTTGGAGCACTTGTGACCATAGATGATTAGGGGAGTTTGACAAGAGCCACCACCGTGTTTTGCTTTCGTAGGGAGCGGATCCCAAGTTTGCCTTGAGATCGGCAGACCGTTTCCCAAACGACGAGGTGGAATTTTTTTGACTCGGACTCTCCTAATCAGAGGAAGTTCCTCATGAGTTGTTCTAGTCTATTAGCTACCGCTGCCTGCATATGGAAGAGGGACATGAGATTTATGGGGGTGTTGGAGAGTGTGGCTTTGATTTGGGTAGTGCGACCCGCGAAGGAAAGGAACCTTCCTTTCCAACCAGCAAGCTGACGGTCCACTCCTATCAATGACGGTTGACCACTGTGCCTTTTTAAGTTTCCCAAGTCCCAGGGTAATCCCCAGGTAGTTAGTTGGGAGCTCTTCCACTTTGCACGTCCAACCTGAGAGTAAGGCTCTGGTCTCCTCAGAGGTGAGGGCAACCCCTATCATTGTTGACTTTCACTTATTGAACTTGAAACCTGTGGCAAACTCAAAGCACCTGAGGAACATACGGAGGCATTCGATTTCCTGAGGGTTAGCGTCAATGAACACTAGAATGTCATCGGCGTATTGCAAATGGGAGACCGAGGGGCCCCTAGCACAACTTTTGAAGCCATTCAATAGGCCCACCTAGTATAACCTAGATAGTGATTAGCTAAAGACTTTGACAGCTATAGCGAAGAGAAAGGGGGAAATGGAGTCTCCTTGTCGGAGACCCTAGAAGAGGGGAAGAATCCCTTAAGAGTCCTGTTGATGAGAATGG